CTCAGACAAATACTTAAAAACAGAAATGCTGTCTATATGGGCCCACAAACGTCCTGTATTTACTGTAAGTGGCCAGACGTCTGACTTTGACAACAGAGAAAAACACCAAAGTAATCACCTTGCTAAGCTAAAGGCAGCACAGTTTGTAGGAGTTTGAAAACTGCTCTTTGTTAAAGTGCCAAAACACAACATCAGAGTCTGCAGAAATACACATTTTTGTCCGATTTCACCTTCAAATACAGCCTTAATTTATCTGAAAACAAACGAAAACGGCGACAGTTTTGCATTTAGATTTGTTGCTTTAATACTTTTTTCGGCTCAAAATTACATTTTCTTTTTCAGCGTTCTCCGTTGAGAAGGCTCATTCCTTATGCCTGGAAGAAGTCGGACCTTTCGGTCTCACTGATATTTAAAAGACAGCCAACACCAGGGTTTAATCAAAGCAATATTTTCCCCCCCGTGGTGCCAGAAGAGGCCGAGTCACTTTTTGTTTCAGTTTCGCCAAAAAATGCAGCAGCTACCTTGGCATGACTGCCTTTTTGTAGCCAGCTAATTTGATTCTCGGCGGAGGCCTGGGGTTTGACTTGAAAATCAGAGCTTAGTCATTGGCTACCAGTGAAACACGGGCGCTACCGGGGCAGGAAAAGTTGTCGGTGTGAGTCATTGCAAACGCCGAAACCTGCTCACAGCAAATGTTTTCCACACAAATGGAGGAAAAAAATAAAGAAATAAAAATATCGACGATGCTACTTCCTCACATCTTGGACTGTACGGCATCACAGTCAATTAAAATTAACTTTGCATGTTGTTTTTTGCAGGTACATCTGTTGTCACGGTAACCGCCACTGATGCCGATGATCAAACATACGGGAACAGCGCCAAGCTCGTGTACAGCATCCTGCAGGGACAGCCCTATTTCTCTGTGGACTCCGAAAACGGTAAGCCGAACCCGAGAGGATCCCTTTTGGATGCAGATTCTTGCCAAACAGATTTCTTGCGCTGCTTGGATGAGTGTTTAAAAAGCTCCAGATTTCTTCCTTCAGGAGCACGTCTATATTTAAAATCCCGATAAAGTGCGTCTGTCATTTTTCCGGGGAAGCGTAACAAGACTGTTGTTCTCCAAGTTCTAAAACGGCTCTTATCGCAACAAGAAGCCGCTTGTTAAGGAAGAATCTGTTTTGTCTGCGACTCGAAAGCCGTAAAAGACGAACCCTTTCAAAGCCATAATTCCCATCATTTAATAACAGCATGTCTAAAATTGGATAGAAAATAATAGATGACGTCTTGGGAGGTGGGCCGAGTTGCTGTCGTACCAAGATGTAAGATGGGATGATCAATGTCAGTTTTATCTCTAAGTCATTTACTGCAAATTACACAGAGCCAGAGCCAGATCAGCTCCGTTAAAGATACAGCCCAGCAACTGCAAAGTGTTTTTTTTTTTTTTCCAATCATGTAGAGAGAGAGAAAAAAAAAGAAAGGCCAGTGACATTTGAGGAACAGTAAACCAACAACAGCTGGGCTCCATGCACACAAAGCAGCTTAAAAAGTTGCTAATTCTGTTTTGGGACCCTTTAAGCGCTATTTTTAGGGTTTCGCAGCACTTTGTCTCGGTTAGAAAATGAAAAAAGAAGTCAGAAGTGACACGAAACACAAGACTGATTTCATTCACGATGACCCAAAACCGTATTTTCTAACATGTTGCTGGGGTTTGTTCAGTCGCCGTCCTCTGCAGATGCTCCGACTCGCATGAACACTTCTGACACCAGAACAACATTGCCAGGCAACATAATCCAGGCGGCAATTAGATTTCCCTCCAAAACACATTTGGCAAACTGAATTAGAGGCACATAATTTTTTTTTTTCAGGAAACACGAGTGGACACAGACACATGGACTTACTCTTATCTGGTTTTCAGTCAGACGGCGAGTTGCTCTTTAAAGCAAAAGTACTTTTTTGTTTGTTTGTTTCCAGGCACTATTAAGACCGCCCTATCCGCCATGAACAGAGAAGTGAAAGAGAACTACCAGGTTGTGATCCAGGCCAAAGACATGGCCGGACAGATGGGGGGGCTCTCGGGTACCACGACGGTCAGCATCACGCTCTCCGACGTCAACGACAGCCCGCCGCGCTTTGCTAACCGTAAGATGGGATTCCTACCTACGCTGTATTGATTTGAGCTGTTGTTAGGATGCACATCTTAAAGGAATTTCCCTTCCTTCGCCGTCAGATTCCTTCCGCGTGACCGCCGTGGAGTCCACGGACATCGGAGGCGCCATCGGACGCATCAAGGCCGACGACCCAGACATCGGACGCAACGCCGAGATGGAGTACAGCATCGTGGGCGGTCACGACACGTTCAACATCATCACCGACCAAACCACGCAGGAGGGCGTTATCATCATTGAGAAGGTACTTTGCTCCCCCCGTAACCACTTCGAACTTTCCAATCGGGTTAAATTTGACGTATTTTACTACATGATCCTTTGCAATCTGCGACAAGCATCAAACATCGCCTCTGTTGTGCATCTATTATTCGACTGATAATGGCTGCGCAATCAGACAAAACACTTCTCGGGGATATGCTTAGAAACAAATAGCAGCCTTGTTGATTTCAAGAAGTGTTTCATGGAAACCCTTCAAGCAAAAACACATTTCTATTATGTGTGTGTGTGTGAAAAAATAGGATTCTAAAGCTCATGATTCAGCTCCTTTATTGTCCAAATATTCAATAACCTGGTTGAAACAGAGTCCAAACTTAATGAACATCTTAAACTTTTCTTTTCTGTCTTGACATGTTAAAAAAAACTCTCTCTCCCCCTCCTCCAATTATAATAAGGAACATTTAACTTCAGTAGAAAGACATAAAAGTACAGTTTCAGATTAGAGAAACCCCTTGATAACGTTTATTCATGTAAGAAAGATATGACAGAATGTATTTTTTGAAGCGTGGTGTAAAATCAGATACCCTAAGCCTGTAAAATGAATAATATAAAAGAGTCTTTTGTTGGAACCTATTTTTAGTTTTCCCCTAAGATCTTCCAGATCAGTATTCCTCACTTGGATTTCTAACTTGGAATTTAGAGTATGAATAAGATAAAGGCAGACAAATGAAATGCGATGAATTGCCTATCAAAATCCCGGAGGCGGACTGTTTTCTTTTTTATATATATATTTTTTTTATTGAAAAGTCTACAGCTTGACTTCTGACGCTCTTTCATCTGCAGGCGCTGGATTACGAAAGTAAGAGGGACTACGAGTTCAGAGTGGAGGTGAAGAACACGTTCTTGGATGTCAGGTTCATCAACGGCCTGCAATTCAAAGACTACGCCACGGTCAAGGTGACGGTGGAGGACGTGGACGAGCCGCCCACCTTCACCAGGAACCCTTACATCATCGAGGTGCACGAGGACACGGCCGCCGGCAGCTTCGTCGGCGTGGTGTCGGCCCGCGACCCCGACGCCGACAACAAGCCGGTCAAGTAAGTCTGCAGGACTGGAAAAATTCACTTCTCCAGATTTCATTGGAGAAATTAGGCAGCCGCTATTTAGTAACCTCAGAAAATGAATCGATGGCCTGTTAAGCAAAGATTTCCTCGGCAAACCAAGTGGGCGTAATGCTTATTTATCGTAGCGGTTTGATTGTTTTAAACACTCATTGTTCCAGCTTTAATTATACTAGTTTAAAAAAGAAAAAATCAATAACGAGCAACAACATGCTGCAAATACAAAGTCTCCTCTTATCAGTTTTTTTTATGGAGCGAGGATGAGAATGTGCCCACTTGGCTAAATCTAATCCATCAGCCGAGCCATGTGTCAGCGTGGAAGTCAGAGGAGGGGGGCGGGCGGAAGAAAAGAATATTATTCATGGGTCCCTCCTGGTGATTTCCCAGCGGAAGATGGCGGCGGCCCTGTGAAGTGAATACAGACACTGTTTATTTCCCGCCGAATTATGTAAGCCCTCTGTGGCACCGCACAAAGTCAAAGTGAAAGAGCCTAATTTGCTGTATCGATTCACGCAGCTCGGCGCCGCCGCCGTCGCGCACATATGGCGCCCGCCCGTCTCTGACACGGAGACGCGCCACTCTCGGCCCGTGCCACATGGCGCGCATTGTGTTGCATATTCAGATTTCGCCTTCGAATATGAAAGGCGACTGTGACAAATGAGCAGGATCCGGGAACGATGTGTCATCTTTTGACAACGGAGAGAGCGGAGTGGCTTTTTATTTTTTTTCCTTTTTTTGGAAAACGACGTGCGCGAAACGTGTTTCTCTTTTAAGTAAAGAAGGACTTTAAGCGTGTTTGCGTTAACGGGGCCGATCTGTGCGAGCAGAACAAATCAGAGCTGCACTTTATTTTACGTCTCAAATCATCAAATTTTTAGAGCGATTTCTGCTCAACCATCTCTGATTGGCCTGAAACTTTTATAGCATAAAATATGGTGATTAATAAGGATATGTGTGAAATTTTAGCTTGATACATGAAGTACTTTACGAAATACACTTTGACCCACTTTTTTTTTTTTTTTTTTTCACGCAATGAAATCTGAGTCTGTTTTTTTTTTTTTTTTTTTCACGCAATGAAATCTGAGTCTGTTTGAACGACAACATCTCAGCAACTATTGATCATAAAAGCCTGAAATTTTCACCGTTATCTCTCATCGTGTCACTGATTCAGGATCTGCAATGTTGGATAGGTAGATTAATAGCATCTGTTTATGGGTGAGTTGAAAAGAATTTGAAGCGGTCATGAGAAGTCCCACTTTTGAGCAAACATTACCAAAAAAACTTTGATAATGTCGAAGTCAGCGAGTGATATTTTCTGAATCACATGAAGCTGCAGTTCACAGTAATACAGAACAGAACATATAGAATACTTTTAAATGTGTAAAACTTGTTCAAAAAAAAGGAAAAGAAAGTAACTGATTGAGCAGGTATGACCAGTTGTACCACTAAACAAGCACTGGTAGAAAATCCAAGAGTTCTGGTTCTGAGAATACATACATATGCGTTGTATACATAATATAACCAAGAGAAGTAGTGGCACTGTTGACTCTGAATCAATGGCATGATGTGAAATAATAGGCAAAATTTCTGGCTTTTACCATAAATAACTTCTGAGATATTATCATTCAGACTCCTGCACATTGTCTAACTTGCAAAGACACATTTCTTAGTTTGACATTTTGGTGTCAGACGAATAGTTTGGTACATAAAGAGAAACCATCTTAAAGAGGAAATGACTGTGACTCTGCCACCAATGAACACAGTCCACAAACCATATTAAAATACCAAAACATTCCACCAAATGACCATTTTCAATACAATACCAAACATAAGAATCATGCATATGACATTATTTTATAGAGCATGGGTAAAATCCTGCTGCCTTGACAGGACACCCAGACTTACAGGTTACATATGTAGATAACCCTGCAAATAAAGACGTATACCAAAAACACACCATTAAAGAGGGTTGCACTGCACAGAGCAAAGAGGAAAGGTGAATATTAGATAGAAAACATCACAGTAATACATTTCCTCAAGACCCTACCCAGTCTAATGCATCAAAAAGCCAACAAATTTAGTAGAACTGGACCAATTCTGGCATGAGGAGGATTCAAAGATGCAACCAGAAGCTTATATAAGGCGACTGAAAGCACATATTTGAGGTGAAAATGGCCATTTAACCAAACACAAGCATTGACGTATGTGTGTTTCAATGATGCCGATTTTGTCACATTTCCAGAAGGGCCAGAATAAATTTATGAAAGAACCAAAGTTAATGTTTGTTTTCTTGTGGCACAGATGCATGTGTTTCAACGAGTCCATCAGAGGAAATTAAGAAACTGCACGACTGCTGTGTTTTTAACAGGTTCAAACATAGCTTCTAATTTAAATGTGTGAAAAAAGGTGCTAAAAATGAGTCAGTGAGCATCAATAACAAGAAGAATTTTACAGAAAGTGCTTGATATTTTAGTCAAAAATTCCACAGATGCCAATTTAAATATTCCTCATTTGTGGAAAAAAAGCTTTAAGTGACTCAGAGATGGTCGAGCAGAAGGCGTCAGATCATTCGAGATGGAATAACCATCTCAAAAGGACTATTACAAGCCAAGATGAGCTCTATGTTTAGGATTCATATTGGTGCTTTGGTATTAATATGAGCTTGTATCGTCGTTGCAGATACTCCATCGACCGGCACACAGATCTGGAGAGGCTGTTCAACATCGACTCCATAAACGGCACGATCACGACGCTGAAAGCACTCGACAGAGAGATGTCCAAATGGCACAACATCTCAGTGGTGGCCACCGAAATAAGTAAGTGCAGCTCCAGTATCTCCACTGTTCATCTGTGACTTCTGTCGCTAAACCTCAAGTCATTTATTCGTTCCAGACAACCCCCGTCAGACCACTCGAGTGCCGGTGTTCATCAAGGTGCTGGACGTCAACGACAACGCCCCCGAGTTCGCCATGTCCTACGACACCTTCGTCTGCGAGAACGTCAAAGCGGGACAGGTGCGTCGCTTTGATGTTTGCAAAATGCCTCGCTGAGGATTTGTTAAATCATCTGTTGCCGTTGACGCACGCGGTCAGGTTTATTGAGCTGACAGAGTCCATCACAGCCACACAAATGTGCGTCTCCCACTCATGAGTTACTCATACCATAGAAATCTTTTTTTTTTTTTTGCGATCGTGGTTTTATAGACACACCGGCTGGAAGTTATAATTTTGTGCATTACTCACAGATCTGCACAGTGAGAGGGTTGCATGAATCAACTCAAACGATGCACAAAGAGCACACAGGCTAAGGGGTAATTGTTGACAATTCCACCAAAAAGCGAACGCAGACCAGAAGGGATGTGATATCTATTTACATTATTGAACTGCAACATACACATGGAGTTGATATTATATACAGACATGCTGTTGGGGGGGTTATCCACACTTCCAGCCATGTTTGATCATAATTGTGTTCTATTAATTACCCCAAACACTAATTGCAGATTAGCCTATTGGTGTGTTTTACATTACATGCTTTACAGATTACAAGCTTCCATACTGTCACGCATTGGAAACCTTTGGATTCATTGGGGTTTCCGTGTTTAATTTTTGTAGGATATTAACTTTAATTAATAAATTAGTCCGGTAATTTGATGGAGTATGTAACACTGTGGGGTTTTCACCTTGTTATTTAAGTTAGTGTGGTTCGTTTGTGTCGTATATACGCTATTGTAGGGTGCTAATATTTATGGATTGCAGCTTTCTTATTCTTTGTTCGGTTCTTTGCAGCTGATTCAGACGATAAGCGCCGTTGACACCGACGAACCCCTCGTTGGACACAAGTTCGTCTTCAGCATAAGTGCCACCAATCCAAATTTCACCATCGTGGACAGAGAAGGTGAGATATAGTTGTTATTTTTTTGTATTTTAACTGCTATTCCTGAAACATGATGTAAATACAAATAATAAAAATACAAAAACATACCGTCATGGGTAATTTAGCAAGAATACAATTGGGATTGAGTGTATATACAATATCTAAAAATATAGAGAACAGTAAATGAACGGAGTGTGATTACAGTCTTCTCACTGACCATTCATGCTTCTTGAAGAGCTCTAATTGTTTGGGGAATTTTCCTACACAGTGCAATAAAGCCATTGTGGATGCAAACATTCAGCCGGTCGTCCGCGCCGCATTGCATGTGTTTCATTATCGCGTTCCTCAGTCATACCACGGAAGGTATTTACGATCGGAGAAATATTCGACGCAGAACAGCTTTTTGGTTGGAAAACTTTACATGCTTGACCTGCATGTTCCCTTTTCATTCGGTCTAATGCTCCTTGTCGTCATTTCGGCTTTGATTCACAGAAAATAGTCAACTCTTCAAATACTGGCAGCAGACAAAGTCCAAAGACTGAAGCGGCGACTCTGAAATTGCTTGAGTTCTAACAAAAAAAACCTCTGGACTTGAATTCATTTTGCACTACCATGCTAATGTCTTTATAGAATGAAGACTGCGTCATGATCAACCGAATAAGCAGCGCTTGAACTTACTTTTGCCTTTGAGCAAACTAAAGTGGTTATTATTAACCCTTATGAATCCACAAACCCACCAGCTGGATTGAAAAGAACATTATCTTTACAAAATCGTCCAAAAATTACACCGTTTATGTGCGACCCAGTCTCCCCGAAGTTACATGTTGGTACAAGTGAACTGTTCGCAAATGCATTTTGAAGAGGACGTAACGTCGTTTTGAAAGAACCGTTCTGGTTTCTGGTTATGACAAAACAACACGGTTAGCTTTAGGAACAAATATCAGCAAAACAAAAAAACAGGAAGTCAACTTCAATGTTTGGAGACTGGGTTGTTGTCAGAGATAAAAACAGAGCGAATCGGTGGATGTTGAATTTCCTGACATGCCTTGAACTGCTCATGACATTCGGTTGGTAAACTTCACTAAGGCCTCGTCCACATGTAGCAGGGTTTTTTATAAATATCCTCCACCCTACACACCATCTGGTTTTTAGAAAAAAAAAATCATCCACAATAAACTGCGTAAGTGTGTTGTTAAGCATGCCACACCTTTAGGTGGCAGTAGTTCCCTAAATCCAAGCTTCCGTCTCTCAATGTCGGAAAAAATAACCGTCTTTACCGTCATCCTTCGCCTGTGTTCTTGTACGTGGAGCAGTATCTGGGCCTGGACAGGAGAAACAACGCCAGCACAGTTTTTAGGGCGTCCACACTGTTTCCAAATGTAAACACAGGTTGCAAGATGTAAAGAACATGTTTTGTCGCAGGTAGTGATATTTCGAAACCTAAAACCGGTTATTGACGTCCACATACAGACGCATGAACAGAGGATTCGCAGAGCTTCACTTTGGTCGGAGGTTTTTGAAAGAATCGTTTTTAATGCCGGAAATCTGCGCTTTGGTATAGATGGTAGAAAAATATCTTTGTTTTGTGAGATACCCTGCTATGTGTGGACGAGGCCTAAATCTACGCTTAAAATCGTCATATTTCATCAACATCACTTTATTCTACGTGTCTCATTTAAAAAAATTCACCCAAAACAAACAGTTGACACCAGATTCTATCACATGACAAAAACAAAAACTGTTTAGTCTGAACTGCAGGCAGTGTTTACACCAAGTAGAATAAGTCAAATATCTATAGGATGTAGAGCCACGTCTTTCTCCCCAGAATAGGTTTTTCAGTTTTTGTTAAACAACTATTCGAGAACATTCAACTTTCTTTCTTTCTTTCTTTCTGATTTCTGGCATTCTAACTGTATCATACTGCACTAAAAAGTTCCCTCTACTCCTAGTCATGGTTGTTCTGTTTCCATAGAGGTGCAGGACTTTATTTTGCAGTGAAAAATGAGCCCACAGTGACAGGAACAGTCAGACGGCTGATGCATTTTTTAAAACTACTATTTAGACCTCTCAGTAATTCTGCAAAGTTTCACCAGCTGTGTATCACGAAACAAGGGAATAAAGATCCTTTCATGTAGGATCATCGAGCGAACTGAAACGTCCCTCCGCTGACAACCTTTTTGCTCGCCTGCGTCTTTCCTCAGACAACACCGCCAACATCCTGACGCGGAGGGGAGGCTTCAGCCGGCGCGAGATGAGCATGTACTTCCTGCCCGTGGTGATCTCCGACAACGACTACCCGATCCAGAGCAGCACCAGCACGCTGATCGTGCGCGTGTGCGCCTGCGACAGCCGCGGGAACATGCAGTCGTGCAACCCCGAGGTCCTGCCCTTCTCAGATGGTCTCACAACTGGAGCTCTGGTGGCCATACTGCTCTGTGTCATCATCCTCCTCAGTAAGTCGGCCGTCGTGGGCGGGAGCATGTGTGCGACGATGTATACTTGAACCCTGTCTGGTGATGCTCGCTCGGCCGCCGCTCATCGCAACAACCGATTCGATTCATGTCCGCTGACAAACGCAGAAACCGGCCACAGATCCGTCTCCATCCTCTATTCTTAGACACTCAAATGACCTTAGTTACTGTTGCTATGGCTGTCAAGTTTGCATATGCGGCTCAGACGAAGCAGGTTTCCACGAGGATGTGGTGCAAATATTCAATTTTTTCTAATTAATCTTATTAAGACAGGTCCCCATGCATCGCTGTTACGTAAATAGGAGGAGCTGGTTCATGGAGACGAAGGGCTAATGGCACTGAGTTTACAATGGAGGGCCTTTGCAGTGGAACAAAATAGAGAACTGATGTCAAATGGTGCAAAACAACGTAAGAACATGTGATAGAAATATGGAATTATTTATTTTTAAACAGACTCCACGTACAATGCTAAACATATTTATTAGACCACCTGTTTAATTTGTTAAGCACTGTAATTATTTATTTGTTTATTTATTTATTTTTCGACCACCCAGCATCATGAAGTGCTCTCGACGTTTTACTGTTTCGAACAGGAATGAGAAATTTCAAACTGAATTCACTTTTTATACCCAAATCTGAGCCACTGGGCTTCTCTGATAAGTTAGAAATCAATCAGGCACATCATTCAACCACTTAAACTATTTTTTTCTGTTCAGGAATGCAAGTAAATAACTATAATTTGACATCTTAATCAAGAAATAATAATGTGCTTTAGTATTTTTTCTATAGTTTCTTGTAAAAACAGTAAATTTAAGAATCCATGGATCACAATAATAATTCTATTTTAGCATTAAAAATATCATTTTGGTTAAAGAGCTTCTACATACTGGTGCATTATGATTTTGATTATTGGTAATGATTATTGGTAAATACTAATGCTGTTAATTTAAGACAGCTGTGGCATGAACCTGACATTATGGTGGTGGTCTAATACAGTTGTTACGCGCGATAAAAAAGGGCTGAATATGAGACCAAAGCTACATGTTCCAGGCCAAAAAGCCGACATCATTACCAGTCCATGACCCCTGTAGGAGACAGCGAAGTGAGGGGCGGCCGAGTTCTGGCACGGCGAGGTAGTTAGTCAGCTCCAGTTTCATGCTGTGTAACAAAAATCCATGAAAGAAATACTTGGAGAGGAAGACAGATGGTAGATTTAAGCTTTACTGCCCAGATTTTCCAACATGAGCAACACATATCGCCACTGTTGAAGATTTTGCTCAGACTGCTTGAGATTAAACTTTCATTTAAAGCGCAGGACATTAGTTTTAACTGGGAAAATAGCATATATGCTGTCTAACTGTCCATCCTTAAGGCCACGCAGTAATGCAGCTTGTTAAACATATTGTCCGTGGCCATGGACGCACCGCTGAGTACCAGATGTTGGTCGCCAGGAATCCTGATCTGTGCAGCTTATGTAACAAACATTCAATCCACCAACTCTCGTGTTTTTGGGATTGATGACGGTTTCGAAGGGTCGCTGAGCTACAGCTGGAGGATTACCGTTCATAGATGAGGTCGGTTCTATCACATCAACAGAGAAACTTTCAGGTTTACTTGACCTCGAAGTCGCGTAAACACTAATGGCTGCGTGTGCTTAGTTATCCATCCACTCCTCGTTGACCTTCATTGCCATGGCTACCACCGCCGAGCTCAGAACCTAGGACAGGTGATAAAGCTCCATACTATCACTACATATGACAAAAAAAAGGAACAAAAAATTACCACTCCGGGCAGGCCTGGCTTTCATTCGCTCCATGCTGCAGCCAATTCGAGGTGCAGAAAAGTCAATAACGTGGACCAGTGTTTGCTCGACTGCATGCTGCTGAGCGCCCACATGGGGGGGAAAAAATAGTGAATACCTCTGCTATTACAAGTTCTAACATTACAAATAGGACATTGATTAAAAGCCCGGGCTCCCCAACTCACTGCAATCAATAAGATGTTACTGGAAAGATGTCAGTCCGCCGCTCCGGCTGCCAGCAGCTTTAGCATCTCAATATATTACGGCGGCGATTAAAGCAACAATAACTTTTTTGTTGATACAAGATCTCAAACATCTTATGGAAGATATGTAATAATAATAATGGATTAAAGCGACTCCGTCTGCTACACGGGGGACGCGCCGAGCAGAGGTACGATGATGAAAAGCTAAAAAAAAACCTAAAGCGGAGATGTGTCATACAACAATGGGTGAAAACAATGGTTTATCCTCTGAACCGCCAGCACTTTCTGGGCATCTTTTGCTCCTGTCACATTATTACTCACTGTGAGCTCATTTTTCACTGCGATATAAAATCCTGCACCTCTATGGAAACAGAGCAACCATGACTAGGACTAAAGAGGACGGAAAAATGCCTTTTTTTCTGCAGGTTAACAGCTTTAATGCCATAAATCATACAGAAAAAAGATGAAAGTTGAATTTCTTTGATGATTAAATTTACAATAATTGAAAGAAATCAAAGCGTATGAGAAAGATGGCTCTGAATACTAGAAATATTTGACTAATTATAGGTTTACAGCTTCCTCAAACTGTGGATTTTTCACACGTCTCTGCACATTAACTCTATTTCACCGAGCTGAATGTGTCTTCCAACAGTTTTCGAACCACGCTGCACTTATAATATTCAAGTATGTTGCCCTCAGTCACTTTAATTTGTCTTTAAACTTTGAACAGTCTGCAAAAAACCCTCCGTTGTGCAGCTGAGCACAGAAATTTAATTTCTTTTTACAGTCTAACCCGTGCAAACCAGATTATTTGACACATTTATAAACCAGACAATAATAGATGCAGTATTTTTATGAAATTGTACCAATTTAAAGCTTAGATTTGGTTAATTTTCCCACCAAAATCGCACGTCTTGAATGAGGTGTTCAAGGATCATTGGAAAGTTGAGACATTTTTGCAGTTTCTGGCTTTAAAAATGGTGTATTTGGGCTTAAAAAAACAACAACAACCAATCCCATACCTTTAAATTTGTCATTGAGTTCCAAAATTAGTGAAATTGCCACAAGAGTGACGACTTATAAACTACTTCTTGGGGGGAAAAATGGTTGTCATGGTTTAAAAACTGCTGCTAAACCATCTCTAAGGCTTAAAGAAAACTGCTTTGACTCTCAGTAGAAGAATGGATGCAAACCTTAGACACCAAACTATCCAACAGAGTGTCCTTGAGCGCTACATATCGGATAAAGATCAGCAGTCATAAGATGTCGCTAATCAAGAGAACGCAAAACTATAACCAAGTACGGACGCTGCGGAAATCCTTGAAAAATCTGTCTTACAAGCTGTAACCGAACGCCACACGAGGCCTCACTGGGTTCTTTTAACTTGTAAGCAATCATAAGTAATTAAAGCAAGTCCAATCAATGACAGATTACAGGCAGTTCTCTCTCCGAAGGCCGTCCGAGGCCCCTTTTCATTAGCGAACACATTCGCCCAACGGAACGGTCCGTACTTGCTCCGGGAAAGTAGGTCGAACGCTGCGTCCCGACGCACTGAAGCACCACTTCAGCCGTCCTCGTGATCCGATGCAGTGTGTAATACCATACAGGGAACAGCGAGAACGGCGCCTATCGTTTTACCCAGCAAAAAGCAGAAACGCACGGGGGCCTATGGTCAAGGACGTATCAATAAGTAATGGGCTTCATCTGTCATTGAACTTTACCTTTGCTTGGGCAAGCACGTTACCCGATAGGAGCGTTTTCAGACTGAAAAAAAACCAAAACACTGTCGGATTCCTTGAATAGGTCAGTGCAATTACAACTCATGAATGCGTTACATATAAGAGACCCCCAACCTCTTCCCATAGATTGAACTCGACACCACTTCCCCTCGTCACAATCTTGACTCCGACGTGTTACATGATTGACTCGGATTTTCTCTTCCCTTCACACACGTCGAGCGCAGTGAAGGTTAAACTCCTGCTCTCCTCTCGAGCTAAAATATCACGACATCTGCTCATTATCCGACGCCTTTTCGCGCTCGAAGCCCCCCTGACAGACTGTCTCATTCACCTCCGCTTGACTCCGATAGGCAGGGCGCTGGGATGGAACCTCGGCGCAGCCGTCCGTCTAAAAGCATGACATTGGTCAGCCGCGGTATCGTATAAAGAACTTTTTAACAGCCGTCCCCCAGCCCCCCGTCCGACCCGTGTCGAAGGCGTTGTAATTAACACCCAGGTGGGAGGCGACCACAGTACCTGCCGCGAGGGCGAGAAAGAGAAATCAAGGTGAGGAGGGCAGGTGAAGCAGGATTTTTAATGCTCCTGGAATTATGGGTTTATTTAAAAACTCGCTTCTGGAAACATGCTCAGTCTGCAATCTCTGATAGTCTTTTAACGATGAGATATATATATAAAAAAAAAAAAAAGATCCTCCAACCACACGGCAGCGAGCGAATGTGCCATTCAAGGAGGAAGGAAAAAAAAAAAAGAGCTTTTTCCACTGAATCTTTAATAATAAGAGGTGAGCGCCTGAGGCAGAGTTGAGGATTTGTCACTGGTAGCAAATGTGTCTCCCCAGCGCGCCGCCGTGTGCTCCCCTGCGCTCTTTAATGCATGACACATGTTAGGAGGCACACGTCTTCTCACTCTCTGCCTGCATTCTCCCCGCTGTTTTTGTGTAGTGATCGTGGTGCTGTTTGCCGCCCTGAGGAGACAGAGGAAGAAGGAGCCTCTGATCATCTCCAAAGAGGATGTCAGAGACAACGTTGTCAGTTACAACGATGAAGGGGGCGGAGAGGAGGACACTCAGGCCTTTGATATCGGCACGCTGCGCAACCCGGAGGTGATGGATGCTAACAAGCTGCGCAGGGACATCATACCCGAAATGCTGTTTCCCTTTCGGAGGACATCACCGATAAAGGATAACACGGATGTCAGAGACTTCATTAACGGTAGGCTGCAGGAGAACGATTCGGACCCCACGGCGCCGCCCTACGACTCCCTGGCCACGTACGCGTACGAGGGCAGCGGGTCGCTGGCGGAGTCCCTCAGCTCGCTGGAGTCGGCCGCCACCGAGGGGGACCAGGAGTACGATTATCTCAGCAACTGGGGACCACAGTTCAAAAAGCTGGCAGAGATGTACATAGGGAAGAGCCCCGACAGAGAGACCTAGACGAAGCCATGGCGGTCCATTTTTTTTCCCTGTCTGTTGATCTAGCTAGCCAACCAGACAGCCGTTTGTCTAGTTAGTTAGCTGGCCAGCTAGTTGACTGTCTGTCTACCTATCTATCAAGCTATCTTATCTGTTTATCTGTCTAGTTCGCTAGCTAGCTCGCTAGTCGACTAGTTGTCTATTTGATTCTCATGCACAAATACACGTTTAAACGCACCCGACGCGTGGAAGTGGAAAAATCAAAGACTTAATGGAGATACAGTAGAAATCTCAAAAAAAACAAACAAAAAAAAAAAGAAGTTTTACTGTTATTTTTTGGGTCATAATCAGTAAAGATGCCTTTGAATTTTAGGATTTTTTGTGAACAATGGTGTGGACAATGTGTTTTGTAATTGATGAGCGATAGTAGTATTGTAATACTATCAATGTTTAACGGTACCGGAGTCGGGTTTTGGTGCGGGCGGGGGTTCGGGGAAGGAGTCGAGCGGCTTTTCCAGCCAACTCCATTAAATACTGTACATGTACAAAGTGTTTTTAATGATGGACATCCTCTATATACTATTTGCTATCTTCGTTTGACAAGCAATGTTCATGTGGATGGTTGGTGCAGTTGATTTGTCAAACTGTGAATTCATTTCATCATGTAGGTGTAACATGTAATGGAAAGTGTATGTTGTAGGAAACTGTCATACACTGAAATCATGCTGTTTGAATGCTGAGTCATATTGTTTTATATTTATATTTTTATACTTATTTTCCTAATAAAATGACGTTGAAAAAAAAAAACCAGAAGAAGAAGAAACAGCCATATTTCCATCGCCTGCTGCTGCGGGTTATAGTTCATGCAGTTTTGCGTGTTGGGAGTCGATCCGCTCACCACGAAGGTTCATTAAAACTTTATTTACATCTCCGCACACTATGTGATAATACACAGAAACGACCACGGAAATAAAGCTCAACATCTCGCTGTCTTGGCAGCATGAACGTGTTGATCCTGACATCGACAAGCTGCCAGAATCCAAAAAAATAATCAAATATCAGCCGTGGAAGGAAGTATGTTTTGTATATCTTGCACATATAATTCTGGTGAATTACACTAGAACTTAAATGATCTAGCCTGTATTTCCAGCAAACTTTAAGGTCCAGGACACAGTACGTTGACCTCAACATCTCACTTTGACTGACTTTTAACCAAATGTTGAACAAAATTTGGGTTTTTGTTCTAATTTTATTGGGTTTCTTTGTATTTTGAGTCTTATCTGTCTGTTTTTTTTCTTAAATTGCAGCTAATTAGTTGTTTCTACACCTATTTGGGTATTATAAAATCAACCATAAAGCAAAACGGCTATTCTGGGCTACAGTAATGGTCATATTGCGTTGATTAAATAATCCCAATCAAACTATTCACCAGTAAAGCAGTGCTATTTTCCATCTTACACACTATGAAATGCTGTGTGGCTAATTGCTATGCTAAGCTATGTGATAATATACAGATACGACCACAGAAGTATAATCTAGCCGTCTTGGCAGCATTAACATGTTGATTTGATATCGACAAGCTGCCAGAATCCAAAAAAATAATCAAATATCAGCCGTGGAAGGAAGTATGTTTTGTATATCTTGCACATATAATTCTGGTGAATTACACTAGAACTTAAATGATCTAGCCTGTATTTATAGCAAACTTTAAGGTCCAGGACACAATACGTTGACCTCAACATCTCACTTTGACTGACTTTTAACGAAATGTTGAACAAAACTTGGGTTTTTGATCTAATTTTATTGGGTTTCTTTGTATTTTGAGTCTTATCTGTCTGTTTTCTTCTTGAATTGCAGCTAATTTGCTGCTTCTACACCTATTTGGGTATTATAAAATCAACCAAAAAGCAAAACGGCTATTCTGGGCTACAGTAATGGTCATATTGCGTTGATTAAATAATCCCAATCAAACTATTCACCAGTAAAGCAGTGCTATTTTCCATCTTGCACTCTATGAAACGCCGTGTGGCTAATTGTTATGCTAAGCTACATGATAATATACAGAAACGACCATAGAAGTAAAATCTAGCCGTCTTAACATGTCGATCCTGATGTCGACAAGCTGCCAGAATTCAGCAAAAATATAAACCCAGGTTTTTAATTTTATATCATGTATATACATTTCTGGGGAAATCATGTTATAAATTAATATCCTGATTAATATAATCTATCTTTCTACTAAACTCTAAGCTCCAGGACAAAGCGCACTGACCTCTACAACTCACTTTTACAGACTTTAATTGACATTTTGCAGAAAACACAAGTTCTTGATGTTGTTTTTTAACATTTCTTTCTCTTTATGTGTCTGTTTTCTACTTGAATGGCTGCTAATTCATTGCTTGCTCCACCAGTTTGGACAATTATAAGAATCAACACGGTTATTTTTGGACGACAGCAACGGTCAAATCCCAAGTCTTGTGCAAAATCCCAACCGAGCTATTCACCAGCGGAAAACGCTGTTTCCCAGCTCACACACTACGAAGCTCCATGTGGTTAATTTCACACTCATCTGCAAATGTGCTGTTAATCAAAATAGAACTCGCTGATAAGTAGGCAGCTGTGGAGACGCATCAAATCAATGCCCCTCTCACGTCGCCTCGCTCGGCTTTCAAATCTTAACACCTAGCGACATGAGACGTGTAGCTGCTGTCCTGTTTCTCATGTGTGACTCCCAAAGTATTTCCAACACGCCGCCCCCTCTGAGAGGAGGACTTCGCTGATTCAAACTGTTGTTTTGCTGTTAAATGTCAGTCCAGTCATCTGTCTGGGAAACAGAAAATGTAACTCGGCTTTTTTAAAGTGTCTTTTTCAGACAGAATTTTGCATGAAACGCGTTCCTTTGTGTGCAGAGGTTTGCAAAACAAAAGCGGTCCAACTAAAGCGACTGATTTCAGAACAAAGATGAGCAAAGAAAGGCTGCTTCTGTCTTCTGTCATGACATGTCTGAAAGCTTCTGTGGCGAGTAACTTTGGGTCTCAACTCTGATCAAGCAGTCCGTCGTCATTTAAAAGTACGGCTCGCTTGATTTACAAATCGACTTAGAGGTCTGGAAATGACAATTTATAACGTTAAGTGGTGTTTAGTGGTTCTCCTGTACGAGCTCATACATCTAAAATAACAGTCTCATCCCTGTAAAGTTTTCAATGTCCAACTATCACAGCTTTTGCAGCTGTTTACTCAATCCTACAAGAGTAATATTTCAAAATAAAAGCACTCACAAATGGTCTATAAATCTAATTTCACCTCCAGTATGTTGTTTGCAGGGATGAATTTCATAAGAATGCACAAGAAAAACTATTTTTCTGTGATATACGCGTGACGTGCAATCCATAAGCGATGCCAACAGGAGTGAGCAGTGACTGTGCTTCTATTCTGGAAGTGAATCCAGACAGGAAAAGGCTAGACCTCACTTTAACAAACAACCAAAACACCTGAGTTCAAGTTCCATCTATGCAGCAACAGCATCTCCATGTCATGCAACTTTACTTACTGACTATCCAGCTTCCACCCGTTTTTCTCTTCCTGATCTCCTTCCAGCTTCTGATACGGATGAACGTGATCCATCATGTTTATGTTTCAGCATGTTATCGTCTCATGATTTAGCAGCTGGCCGGCAAACATCCCTGATAAAGGAGGCTGTGTTCGGACTGTCTGACTTGAACGCCACGTCTTTCCAGTCGGATCAGATCGTGTTTTAAAACAGACGCGCATCCGGTGTTCTCGGTCGAATTGCTTTTGACGTTTTTATTGCAGCTGCGAACGCTGTGTATCAAATGAAACAACACAACGTGACCTTTGCAACGATGCTACTGTCCTGTCTGTGTGGCAGAGCCTCAGAGAGAAAAGCAGCTTTGAATGTACGTCTAATTGAGTCGTTTAATCAACACTAAGCCCATTTTATTATTATTATTATTTTGAATTTCTACGTCATGGAGTATCTCATTGTCCTGATTTTGATGTTGCCAGATTCAAGTCAATCTCAGCGACACAATTATGATAATAAATCTCTATTGCAAGCTTTTTATGGTGAGATACGTGCAAAAACAACAATTTCATAACACGAAATACTTCTTTTTCCCTTGATATATTTGCTAATTTAACTAAATCTGCAAGTATGATCGTTTCAAATGATGCAAGATCTGCTCAGCTTAGAGTCTTCTGAAAAACAACTAAATACAACATGTATGCTTTGGCCTTATAACAACCAAGTTAACAGCTTAAAAGCACTGCTAGTGAAATTACCCTGGAAATAGCCCGAGGCTCAGAGGGGTTGATTAACATTCAATTGCTTAATCAATGTTATGGCGTTTGCCCAAAAAAAAAACATGCAGAGCAACATCAAGGATACAGGATGAGTTTAAACCAATAAAGGCTCTTTTAAAAAAAATGTGCATGAGGAATGAGTGTTGGAACTTCCAGTGAGTAACAGGAACGTGCATCAGAGCCGCAGATGTTCGTCAGCCAACGTCAAACACCGACTGCGAAATGATTTCCCTTCTCATAAAAGCCCCTCGGTCCGGCGGGATGACTCAAAGGCAATATTCTTTATGTGACGCGCAGCGCTGGGATTCATGTGCCTGGCGAGATGTGATTATTCCTCCATCATTTCATTAATAGTGCATCACCATTATGCTTCATGCCTTGATACTAATTGGACCACAGTCACCTGCATCGAGCCCCCGAACGCAGGAAGTGGGCATCTATTCTCGTCTTTTTTTCTTTCTCTCTTGGCTTTCAAGGCAAAGAGAGGGATTTTTCCTCTACCCACCCTACTCACATGTGACTGCATGATTAGTAGTTAAGTGGAACATATCCCCGTTTGATGCATGAAAGGCATTAGCATGTCACATGGAATAATGCATGACAGATAAGGCTTGATGGTAGACCAACTGTAGGATGCTGCGGTTTGATTAAGCAAAAGAATCGCTGCAGATTGTCACAGCAACAGCAAATTCAACTCA